CTTGTGCTTGCGAGGCAGGCACTGGAACCACTGAGCTAAATCCCCCACCCTTATGAATAGGGGATCGGGGCTGGGGACATAGCTCAGTGTCACCATGCCTGCCTGGCAAGCACAAGATCCTGAATTCGATCTCCAGTACCAACCCCCACCCCCAAGAAAAACCAAGGAAAAACAAAAGAATAAGGGATTAGACAGGCATGGTGGGGCTCTCTCATAATCCCAGCACTCAGGAGGCTGAGGCAAGAGTATTGCCAGGAGTTTCAGGCCAACCTGGTCTATACATAGTGAATTTAAGGCCAGCCTGAAATACATAGCCAGACTCTGTCACAAAAACCAAAACCCAACCAAAAACAGAGTAAGAGATCAAAGTCCAGAGGTAGGATAGAAGAAATAAAGATAAGAAAAAAGAGATAAGAAAGAAAAATAACTAAAAAATTGTACTTTTTGGGATAGGGATGTAGCTCAGTGTTACTGAGCCTGCCTTGCAAGCACAAGGTCCTCCTGATTTCAATCCCTGGTACCGAAAAAAAAAATGAGGATAGTCAAAGTTACCTAAGATTATTTATATCAATATGCATTAGGTTTGTTTTATGCTTCTTTTCTTCTAGATCTTTCACACTGCAAATCTCTAAAGATACTTGAAGTCCATAAATTATTTGATAAAGTAAAGGGCAGAAAACTGATCATAAGCTAGAGAAACAGATGGAGTTCAAAGAATGCTTCCAGGCAAAATACCTTAGATTACCCATCAAAAAAAATGAGGCTCATGCCTTTCCCTTGTAAAGCGGGGCATCCTTTTCCAGTAAACCTAGACCAAAACAGAACATCCTATAGATTCACAAATTCCACAGATTTCTACCACCAAAATCACAAATATTCCCAGCTCTAAACTATAACCTATCTCTCTTGAGGGCTCACACTCTTTTTCTTGGAGTGTATATTTTTTGAGTGTATACTTTCAAATTGCTGTCTAATAATTCCATTTGCACCTCCCTTTAAAAGACTCGCAGGTAAATAAGGATGTTCCCATGTATTTTATCACCACAGATTCAAACAATGGAGCCTGCTAATGAGCACAGAAACCATTTTAAAAGCATATTCTCATTTGCTCTTCTTTTTCATGTCCCTTTTTGGGGGGAAGAGGCCGCAAGAAGAATCAAATCAAATAAATGGGCCCTAGGGATTCTTGTACTAGCATCATTCAAAATTTCAAAAAACAGTTGAGACCGATTCAAACTATAGCCTTCCCCATAAATTACTGACCCATCTGCTTGGCCAAAGTGAACCATCTACTTAACTACCTCTGTCCCCGGCTCCTGCTGTTTACTCTGATTAAGGTTCAGAGCTCCAGCTTCAGGCCAGTTCCCTTTTATCTGAGCACAAGGGCTATCTCTGTCCTCCATATTGTGTGCAATCCTTGCTAAAGGCCAAGTAAATGCTAAATAGTTAAGAATAGTTTGGGGGGGGGCGCTCAGATAAAATAAAATACAATTTATTTAAAAAATAGTTAAGAACAATTTCTGTTGCTTTCGTCTCACTGAAATCTTTCCCTCCCACTTAAAAAACTCAGCTCTTAAGGTAGGTGTGGTGGTATAGACCTGTGATCCTAGCACTTGGGAAGCTGAGACAGGAGGATCGCAGTGAGTCAGGTGTTAGCTAGAACTGTGTACATGGCCAGAGCTGTTTCAAACAAAACAGAAAACAAAACCTCAGCTCTTATCCTGAGGATATAGCTCAGCGGTTAAGCACTCACATAGCGTATTCAAGGCCCTCAGTTCTATCCCTAGTACATTCCCCCCCAAAAAAAAGAAAAAAAAAAGCTGAAAAGGTGAGCTTTTTTTCTGCCTTGAATTTCTGGTATCATCTATTATTTGTAATGGCTAATATGTTCCTAAAGTCAGCTCTTTCACAAACAATATATTATAATGTCCATTTTACATTTTAATTGTTCATTGCTTAATAATAGGCAAGTTTTTATGTATCTTCTAGGTTTTTGATATAATTTCATATCTTACCAGTAGAGCCAATTGCTACAAATCATATGAATGGTAGGCTGGTACATATTCAGCAGGTGAATGTTGAATAGCGTAGTATGATTAAAAAGTACAGTAAGGGCCGGGATCTAGCTTAATGGTTCCGCCACCTGCCTTGCAAGCAAAACGATCCAAGTTCAACCCCTGGTACAAAAAAAAAAAAAAAAAAGTACAGTAATGGCTTTAGAAAAACATTTCTGTTATAAGGGGAAACATGTTACTTCTATATTCCACAACATTCTTTTTTAAAATTTTTGGTACTAAGGATCGAACTTGGGCCCTTGAGCTTGCAAGGTAGTCGGTGGTATTCCACAACATTCTAATGTCTCCAGTTATTTCAAGAAGTATATCATTTTCCAAGAAACATTATTTCATTGTAAGAAATATGTATGTTGCTACATGTAGAAGTCTCAGAAGTTTTAGAATCACTACTGGGCTGGGTTTAGTGGCACAAGCCTGGCCCCTAAATTTCAGAATCTCAAATTCAATGAACATTTACTCAGCATTTATCTATACAACAAGCACTGTACTGAGGAATATGGAAAAAAGATGAAAACATTATCCAGCCTTCCAAAACTCATCAAGAGATAGAAATAGATGTACAGCTGTCATTAGAATATGAGGTGCCTTGATAAAACGCCAGTAGATACAAAGTGATCTGGGAACATAAACGTGACAGTCTGCCTTTACGAGCAACTGCAATAGGAATGAGGAGAGTGAATTCCCTGTAGCATACATGTAGAGGCATGAAAGGAACACTTAACGTGAGTTTTGGCATTGAATATGGTTAAAAAATAGTATGTACTGAGTGGGTGGTAAGAGATAAGATTGAAAAGGTAAATTGAGGCAAGATTGTGAAAAATGTCGTAAGCCCAGTTTGAAAGTTTAAGGTTGGACTAGATATCTGGGTGGTTCACGTGGGAACTTGTTAGAAAGGAAAACTCTTGGTTCCCACCCTAGAGCTGATTTACAAGCAAGCCAGGCATGGTGGAACACACCTGTAATCCTGCTACTCTGGCAGGCTGTGACTGGAGGATCACAAATTCAGGCCCAATCTGGGCAATTTAGGGAGAGACTGTCTCAAAATAAAAAACAAAAAAGGGCTGAGAATGTAGCTCAGGGCACAGGACCTGGGTTCAATTCTCAGTACTATGAGAAAAATTCTGGAAGCAGGCCCCAGCTATCTGTGTTTTTAAACACGCCCTGTAGGTGATTGTGATGCATGACTAACTTTGAGAACCACTCACTGCTGCAGGCAATGGGAAATCTCTGAATAATTTTAAACAGGGAACTGACCCAAGAAGATTTGAAATAGGAGTGGTTACCATTGATCAATCAAGCAAAACAGCAGACTCCAGAGTAGTCACAATAAAAACAAACAAACACAAAAAAAACTGTTGAGTGAATATTGTATGATGAGATGAGGCCCTAGCCCAGTGATGGTGAACCTTTTAGGGTTTTCAGTGATAACAAACAGCCAGCTGTGGCACGCGTGGAATAGGTTTGCCACCACTGGCCTAGACTAAGGCAGTAGAAATGGAAAGAGATTTGAGAGATGTTCTACAGGTAACCAAAGTTCAACCAGGTCATTAGGATAGATCCTTACAAATGTTTTTACATAAAACAAATCTGACATCTTGTTAAATCTACCAACTGCAAGGTTTGAAATAAATGGTCCACATAGAACATAGGAAAAGGGAAGTCGAGCAATTTCTGTGTTTCCATAGTTAAGAGCAAAGGGTATCTTAGCTTATAGATGAGCTTTCTAGTCTGCTTGGCAGTTGTACTTTTCACTGTGTTTAGTAAACTGGCATTTATTACTAAAATAAATCTTTCATGGGTTTGGTAGGTCTGGATCAGTCCTTGAGACTGGCACATAACTTCATGATATACTGACAAACTTAAATTTCAAACCCGGAAAAGGTGGAACCCTGACATTGGTTCTGATGATGTAACCAAGGTACTGTGAAGTGAGACCCTGTAGAGCCTTCCTTCTTTTATTCTAACATCACTAAAATCACATAGCCTGCTTAACTTAGGAAAAAGCTGGAAAGAGCAAAACAATAGACTTTGTACTATGTTGTGAAGGTCAAGAAAGTCAAGTGGGATTGTTATTTCTAGTTTTGCCACGATGACTTAGCTGAGGCCATCTTCAATTCTTACAAAGCTAGGGAGGTACTGGGCAACCTAGATGGATAATTTACCTAATGAGAATTTTCCAGGTTGCAATTCCAATTTATCACAACTCTGGATACTTGCAGGTTCTTTTAATTGATACTAATATCTTAGATTATTTGATCAGCTTATTTTGTCCAAAAAGTTCCCAATCAAAACCTACACTGTTTTAGGGAACTTGTGAATTACCAGAGACCTTGGAAACAAAAACCTTCATATTACAGAAGAGGAAATCAAGGGTTGCACAGGGAAAACCACTGAATGTATTATTGTATTATTAATGTATTAATGTATTATAGTAGGGCAGGATTCTCTACAAAGTTGCAAGGCAGCGAAACAAGATTCGGAGCAAAACTGGTAATTTGCTTCTTTGCTAACTTTTAGGAAATATTTTAACTTTCTCTATTTGCCATCTTAAATGTTTTTAAAAACAAAAATAATGGTAGCAAATTACTTTCTTTATCGAACTAATAATGAGTGGAGTAGAATTTCTTGCAGTTTCTTAATTGCTTTGTTTCAGAAAATGGAATTAAATGTAAGAGCCCTCTGAGAAAAAAATATAAGTATAAAAAATTGGGGAAGAAAATGGAAGACACACGCATTGCTTTATATGTTATTTGTTCTACTTTCTATCTTAGCCCATAAAGGGCTATAATTACATGTAATTGTATTACATGTAAAGAGAATCTATCACAACTACCCTTTACATATTTGAAGAATTTGCAAATATTCTAGCATAAACCTGTCGTTTACAGAGTCCTAGAAATGCTTCAAAAACTAGTTTAAACTCACATTCTATTTGGGTATGTAGATGTGAATAACTTGAAAGACACATTTGGCCTGGTTTCCTGTTTTCCCAAACTTCCACCACTTTATACCAAATATTTGTGCAATTTAAAATTTAGTGTTCTGCCGGATGTGGTGGCGCATGCCTGTAATCCCAGCACTTGGGAGGCTGAGGCAGGAAGATCGCTGTGAATTCGAGAAGCCTGGGCTTGATTTAGCTCAGTGGTTCTGCCACCTGCTTCGTGAGCTCAAGGTCCTGAGTTCTATCCCCAGTACAAACAAAAAAAAAAAAAAAAAAGTTAGTATTCACTTCTGTTTCCTGAATACAACATTTTATAGGTAAAGAAATGTCACTACGTAGAGGAAGTATGAACAAAATTTTCATGATCAAGAATGTAGTAAATCCCGTGTGAGCCTTGTCTGAAAAAGTAGGCTTTCCCACTCTGCCTGGAATTCACATTAAGAACAAAATGTAATGCAGTCCAAAAAAACAGAACTTTTTACACAAAATCCAAAGGACTCAACTTTTCAGGTCTGCGTCCTCTTATTTCCCTCAAAGGTCAAAAGATCTTTTGCGAAACCATTTTCACTTAAATATTTGCCCCCCCCCCCGTCCCTGATATGAGAACCCTTTGATTCTGCTGGGGCAGAAGGGATACTTCAGTAGGAGAGGGCAGATGTCAGTTACTTTCCACAAAGGGGAAACCGCAAAACATTGATTAAAGGCTGGAGAGCTGCGAAGAGAGTAAAAAACGTTCAGTCCAAAGACTTCAGCCCACCTGATTGGGGCCCAGCCTTTCCAGTTCTGGTCCTCGCACCGGCCGGCTCCATGTGAAACCGGTCATGTGAGCCTGTTTACAGCGGAGCAGCTGGTGCAACCATCGGGATCAGCGCTGAGGTCCGGGGAGGGGGGAGGATACAGGCCCGTCCCCCCATGCATTCCCCACTATTCCGAGAATGCTTTCGAGCTAGTACCCCCCACCCCTTTCATCTCCCTCCAGGCAAAGCGGGCAGAGCTAAAGCCATTCCGGGACGTCTCGCTCCAGCACCCCCCCCCACATTTCCTTTCACTCGATCGCAGGGGGGACCGTCCGGACTGGAGGAAGGGCGAGGACAGTGTCACCGTGGACAGGGAGTGAAGCTCCCTCCTCTACCCCTCCTCACGCCGTCCGCCAAAGAGTTGTTTCCGGAGCCACATTCCGGGGCAACAGAACTCCGCCGGGCTGCACCGGGGGCTCCCAAGTCCGACCCCGCCGGGGCAAAGTCAGCCACACCGCAGCTGGCCAGACGCCTCGGCCGCGAGCCACCGGTGGCGGGGCCACTGACAGTCGGGAAAGGAGCCACTTCTGCCTCTTCCCCACCACCCACCGCATCTCGGCGCCCCGCTGGCAGTCACTGAGCAGAGCCCCGGATCTGGGAATGGGTTATTCTTTCGGCGGGGGCTCTCGGCCACGTAACTTCCACGTCCTGACGAAGTCGGAGGAAGTGGGG